TCATTTAATCAAAATATGTTTAATATTTTTGAATTTAAAATTAAATTAAATTATTCCCTTCATGCTTCCATCACCAAAATCATGCTAATATAGAAATTGATTTAATTCGTGTTGTCCAATGAATTTTAAGYCGAGTTATAACAGACTGATTAATTAAGGATTTACATAAAATATTATTAAACAATTAATATAAAGTAGATAGACATTAGTCGAATCTATTAACTGTTAGCTGTTAGGAAGTAACTTTTACTCCAGTCCTCTAAATATTGATAAATATATTTAAATCAAGATTTTATTGCTCATATCGTGATAAAAACAGTGTTCATTTCATACTTATGATTCTTGGTTATTATATTTACGATTATCGAGTTAAAAGAATTTGAATATTCCCTTTTGAATAATTTGCATATGGGGGGAATTAACTTTTTAGGAATAGTCTAAATTCTCAATAATGACTATAATACATTTTTATTATAAGGTTATAGCCTGAGCTTCCATCACAGCCCCACTTACATTRTGAAGTTAATTTGTTTATCAATTTCATAATAATGATTAATGAAATATTGTAGTCCAAAGTTTGTAATAATCTATTAATCGTATGGTCTAAAAGATGTTGAAGTGCTATARATGCATCGACTTCACTTACTTTAATTCCATCAGGATAACWTCTTAACTAAGCCGAACRAACTTTATCGTATGATGGGTAAATATTAGCTCCCCTTTGTTTCGCTCCCAAACCCATATGTCACAAGCAATTTATAATTMGAATCAAATATATTGTGATTAATATTTGACGTYGACGGATATAATATATTGCAACCCATTTTTACATCATCGGTATTTATTCTAAATAACGAAAAAAAGTTGGTAAGTGGGTATCGCTTTGCTGTACATTAGGGGGTGGGGTGGACCTCTGACTAGGATAGGTTAAATTTGAATGCAATGATAGGTATCATTGTATACGAAAAACGATTCTGAACGGAGATGGTTTATCTGTCTAGGGTATATTATAGGTTATTAAAAAATTTCAAATCTTATAG